AAAGTATTTCCAAATTGTCTGTCTTTTTTTTTTTTGAAGTATTTTTTGGGTGGGTCAGGTAATTAGGTTTATTTATTTATTTACAATTTTTTTTTTAATGGAGGTACTGGGGGTTGAATCTAGGACCTCATGTTAAGCACATGTTCTGCCACTGAGCTACACCCTCCCCCCTCATTGTCTCTGTTTTTTCTTCACTGTTGTCTAACATGGCTTTGAATAAAGCGGTGATCAAGATTGAGAATCTGAAGTAAAAGATCAGAAGCAGTCTAGTGCTAGTCCTGGGGCAGGCACCAGTCAGAAGCCACACTGTGTGTCCCCGGCGCCTTATGTAAGCTCGCCGTTCGCAGCGTGCAGATAGCACTGAGATTGTAAATAGGCTGACACTGAATGCAGTGTTAATCTTAACACCAGAGTTTTTAGACATTAACGTTACTTCTTTTCAGTCTTGGAAATGCGTATTGAAGTTATTTCTCTCTCTTCTAGGCATCAACTCTCCACAAGCTTTAAAGAAAATCCTTTCTTTGTCTGAAGAAGGGAGTCTGGAACGCCACAGGAAACCAGCAGAAGACACAATCTCAAACGCGTCTTCCCAGCTGTCCTCTCCCCCCACTTCTCCACAGAGTTCTCCGAGGAAAGGTAGGCTGGGTTACCACCTGACCTCCTTTATTTCAGCTGTGAGCGATTCCAGAGTGGTAGATTACATCTGTCTGACAGGAGAGTCATTTACTATGATCTGATGTGTAACACCCCGTGGGTTTTTCTCCCCTTTCGCCTGAACTTGAAATTCTTCCAAGTTTATAAATTTGCGAGAATGTTGATTATTTTAAATACTATATTTATAAATAAATACCGTTAAGCTTATATAACTAAGGCCTTTTAAAAAATTCATTTAAGTGTTTTATTGATTATAAATATATAAATAGTTTTTCTACACTAACAGTTGTTTTAACTTAAGTATGATCACATAGCATTAATTACAGAGCAGAGGGCTTTAAAAACATTAAAAAAAACTAACATTTTTATTTTTTTCATCGTGTTAACACGGGTCTTGATTATCTCTTTTTGTTGCTCTCTTGTTTTATTTTTAAGGAGATTAAATTTTAGGCACTCATACTGCCGTTCTCAGGGTACCACTGTCTTCCTTTACAACACTAGATAACGTTCTGCTCCATCGCCCTGAGGGTCCCTTTCTGTCCCGCCCTTTAATCGAGCAGGTGTAAGCCAAGAGGAATAAAAGGCCAGGAGAGTTTTCCCCGGAGGAAGGCCAGAGAGATGATTAACACGGTGTCAGAGTTCACTGACCCAGCGGATACCTCTTCTGCCGGACTTCTCCGCTGTTTCAGAGCTCTGCACGTTCCGCGGGGTATCGGCCTCCCTCCGGGTTCAGTGGGTGTGCCTGAGTCCTTCTCCCATCCTGTTGGTGGGTGGTAGTGGCAGTCAGCCGAGAACTTTTGGCCCCGGGCAGTCGGACTTCACCAGCTCCTCCTCTTCTCCTGGACGTGAGAACAGTAACAGGGATCACTGCGCAGGGTCGCGGGGCTCACAGAGCCACACCCACCCTTCGTTAGCGGAGGAAAACAGGAGACTCCGCCCACTGTCGAGTGGTCCCCCGAGTGTTGTTGCGGAGATGTGCGTTTGAGCAGACTGTTCAGGGAAGGCTTTAAATCTTGTCTGTCAGAATTGGTGCTGTGGTTTGTATCAAGATGTTTCATAGATAAACTCATTCTTATCGAGACCTGTGCCATCTTTAAAAAATAAATCAGAAATTAATAACTGAAAGGATGGGGAAGTACTATTTAGAGAGTAAATTAGCAACATGTAGGTGCTCTAGATTGCATTCTTTTTAATTAGGTAGATGGTGTGGAAAAATTTGCATTGTGTACATATAATCCTATAAAATCAGTATTTTAAGTAACATGAGATTATTAGTAATGTGGAAAAAAAAGAGTGCTAAGAAGATTTGGATTTTTTTCCTTAAAAATGTCAAGACAGGCTTCTCTTCCTTTGGGACTTTCAGAATTATTTTTAGCAACCAAGGAGAGTGAAGGGTCCTGCCGGCCAGGAAATGGACCTCTGTTTAGGCGTAGTGACGGGCCAGGAAGAAATGGAGATTTTGTACATGGTATCCTTCAAAACAATTGGCTTTTAGGTGATTTATCCAATATGTTATTAGTGGCGAAGAATCAAATGGCAAAAATCCAAAGACGTTTTCTTCAGGTCTTACTTCTTATTAACATATGTCAGCTTAAAATGATAATGTGGATCTTTCCAGCTGAGTTACTCTATGCCATTAAGTTCTCAGAATGAAAACTTCAGTGAAAACAAAATGACCGACTTTGCAGTTTGAGGGGGAAAAAAAAACATACTTTTAAACATCATCGTAGTCATTCTTCCTAGTTTCTTTTGTAGAGACTAATGGAGTAAAATTTATATTTAAGAGAGCTAAGCAGAGTTGAGTGGTGCCCTGATTTCAGCATCAAATTCTGGTCTTGTATAACAGTGTTTTCTTGTCTCCTCTCTAAACTCTCATTAAAGATGCTAAATTTCACTTGAATAAAAATTTGCCTTGATCTCAGTCACCTGATCTCCCCCAGCAAATGGTTTTTCCCCACCTCAGTGGTGGTGCCTCTGGCCTGTGTATCAGTGTATTTTGTTGGGTACATGTCAGTTGCCCGCTGTAACCTGCAGAGGCCGCTGACCTCTCTGTGTCTCCACACAGGCTACACCCTGGCTCCCAGCGGCACTGTGGACAACTTCTCGGATTCCGGGCACAGCGAAATCTCATCGCGATCCAGCATTGTCAGCAACTCCTCCTTTGACTCGGTGCCCGCCTCACTGCAGGAGGAGAGGCGGCAGAGGCACTCGGTCAGCATTGTGGAGAGCGGCCTGGGCGTGGGCCGGGCGGAGCGGCGGCCAGTGGTGGAACCGGACCAGTTCAGCCTGGGGTAGGGCTTGTCTTCCTGACCTCCTGGTGCTCCCCCAGCTCGGAAAACCCACCCTTCCCTCCAGCTGTGTGTGTCTGTTTACACGGGCTGAGAGATGCACCCCCACCCCAGTTCTCATGTTCAGTTTCCGGATGACTTAGTACCATGGGGAATCTTCCATCCTCCTCCCGGGATGAAAGCAGGCTGCCTTTCTGGGAAAAAGTGTTTTGGTTTTATAGATTTATTCGTTAACAGTCTTGCTTTTTTTCCCTCTTTCTCTTCTCTCCCCTTGGTTTTGTTTTTGTTTTTTTTTCCTTTTCTGTGTCTTCCGACCCCCTAGGTCCTATGCCCCGCTGTCAGAGGGCCGGAGCTTGTATGCCGCGGCCACAGTGATCTCTTCTCCCAGCACCGAGGAGCTCTCCCAGGACCAGGGGGACCGGGCGTCACTGGATGCAGCCGACAGCGGCCGAGGGAGCTGGACGTCGTGCTCAAGTGGCTCCCACGACAACATCCAGACCATCCAGCACCAGAGGAGCTGGGAGACACTCCCGTTTGGACACCCTCACTTTGACTATTCCGGGGATGCTGCAGGTCTCTGGGGCACGAGCAGCCATATGGACCAAATCATGTTTTCTGATCACAGCACAAAGTACAGCAGGCAGAATCAAAGCAGAGAGAGTCTAGACCAAGCCCAGTCCCGGGCAAGCTGGGCGTCTTCCACGGGGTACTGGGGAGAAGACTCGGAAGGGGACACAGGCACAATAAAGCGAAGGGGTGGGAAGGACGTCTCCATGGACGCCGACAGCAGCAGCAGCATGCCAGCCGTGACCACGGAGGACACCAAGCCCGCCGCCGGGGTGGCCCACGTAGCCGTGACGCCTGGCGCTGCCAAAGGGCTCATTGGTAAGCTGATTGCAGAGCACGGTCCCATCTGGGTGGTGGCTTTCCTCTAACTGGTTTTGCAAGTGAAGTTATTAAGTGTTTGTGGTTTTTCTCCTCATTTTGTCCCACCCATGGCTGGGTAGGGCTTCCAGATCAGCCCTGTATGGAGGACTTTGAAATGAACAGTGGTTAAGAGCCCGGGTCTTGTGGTCCAGTGCCTGTAAACAGCTTCTAGTACAGTTAACTTTAAGTGCACTTTAGCTGTTGACGTCAGTAGGTTGTCATCACCGGTATTATCTGGTCTAATACTGATCTTCCCAGCTGAAGATTATCAGGAAGGATGGCCATCCTCTCTAGAGGAAGAATTTTTTGTTTAACTGGAGTGGTTTTAACTGTTTCATTTTTCTATTCTGTTCTCTTGAGTTGTATTTAGAACTTTACACCTTGCATATTTAAAACTCTTCCATTGATGTTTGTTATGCAGCTGAATTGTTTCTGTGCTAAACAAATTCTCCCTGCACACGACCGAACAAGGGTGAGGGGCCTGAGAGAGAATGCAGTCAGGGCTCGGAAGTCAGGCAGGTGGGGGCTTGAACCCCTGCTTTGCCACTTCCTCGCTTTGTGACAGTGGGTGGGGCACTCAGCTGTGTCTGTTTCCCCATCTGTAAAATGGGCTTCATAATTTGTACCAATCCAGCTGGTGTGAGGACTTAAGGAACTCTACAGAGCACTCAGAGCACCAGCGCCTGGATAAGAATTCTTCAGTACACAGAACACTGTCACCTTGCTGATGCTGTTTCTCTTGAGAAGTCTCTTAACGGTTCCTTAATCTCCTCGGGATAAACTCTCTGGCATGTTCAGCATCTAATTGAAGAGCAGGGCTACACAATAGGCTACAGAGTGAGAAATTCCAGGCTCTACCCTTTACAGACATCACTTTTATTAGTAGGGAGATTGCAGTTATTTTATCATGCAAATCGTCATGGGTGGCTGTCAAATTTAATATCCTTTCAAGATGAGTAAGGAGACAACAGTTAATACCTATTCTTAGGTCGTGATTTTTAAAGCACTTTCTTTTTCTTTTTCTTTTAATTGACATATAGTTGATTAACAATATTGTGCTAGTTTCAGGTGTACAGTAAAGTGATTCAGTTATATATTTTTTTTCAGATTATTTTCCATTATAGGTTATTATAAGATACTGAATATAGTTCCCTGTGCTGTACAGTAAATCCTTGTTGTTTATTCTATATATAATAGTTTGTATCTGTTGGTCCCAAACTAATTTATCCCTCTGCCATCTTCACCCTCTGGTAACTGTAAGTTTGTTTTCTATGTCAGTGAGTCTGCTTCTATTTTGTAAATAAGTTCATGTGTATCATATTTCAGATTCCACATAAGTGATATTATATGGTATTTGTTTTTCTGTCTGACTTTCTTCACTTAGTATGATCATCTCTGGGTCCATCCATGTTGCTGCAAATAGCATTGTTTCACTTTTTATGGCTGAGTAGTATACATACATCACACCTTCTTTATCCAGTCATCTGTCCATGGGAAGGATTTTAAGGAAAATACGTACCTTACATATACACAATTTAGAATTTTTAGATTTGCATCATGTTTTGTCCTACTTTTCCAAATTGTTTTCACAAATGAAGCCCAAGACCTGAAAGTACCATGGACTGGCCCCTCTGGTGGGAGGAACAAAGTGCCCAGCAAAGAGGGACCGCCTGCCTCGCCTGGAGGGGCAGGAAGAGAGGAAGGAACCTTCACTGGGCACCCGTCACGGGTCCCAGGCGTGGAACTGGCTGTCTTCTGATCTCTTTTTGCGATAAACCGATGAACTGCAGGGTTGGGTGTCAGCCTGGTTACCACTCGGCAGGTGTAGACGCTTGCAGCCCCCGGTTTAGAGCTCCAGGTCTCCCCCTTTGGGTTATCCCCCCCCACGGAGATGACCGCGGTGAACAGTTGTTCAGTGAAGTCCTCTCCCTGCCCGCACCTCTCGACCCGTTCCACTGTGTGCTGTCGTAGCGCTGATTTCCTTCATTCCGGTAACGGGGCGACATGCCCTCCCATGCGGTCCTAACGCCCTGCCTTGTCTTCACTGCAGCGCGGAAGGAGGGCCGGTACCGGGAGCCCCCGCCCACCCCACCCGGCTACGTGGGCATCCCCATCACCGACTTCCCCGAGGCGCCGCCGCACCCGGCCCGGAAGC